TACAGTTTGAACAGCCAGATAACTAATTCTAGCTGAAATTTATTAGATATATTTTTGGAACTGTGGTGGGCACTCTAAGTTGTTTAACTCAGTCTTTGTGATAATCCAGAAAGGTTGGGAGTTTTTTTGTTTTTGTTTTCTCTTTCAGCGTATTACGGGTAAACAAATGTTTAGGTTACATATATTGCCTTTGCCCCACCTGAGTCAGAACTTCAAAGGAGTTTTATCATTATTTTATAGTTCTGAGATTTAAAGGAGTTAAATGATGCTCAAGGCCACAGAGCAGGAATTTGAAGCCAGGTCTTTCTGGTTTCAAAGCATACATCCTTGCCACTATACCATACTGCCTCCATAGGCAGCCCATAGTTTTAGTTCATCAGTGGCACACTTAATGCTTCAAGAATTTTTTTTCTTTATTGCCCAATATAATCTGCACATTCAGTGGACTCTACTGATTTTTTGTAAGCACATGTGAATAAAGGGAAACTGTTTAGACAGCATTTTTATCAAGATAGTCATCTTCTAATGGTTAAAAAAAGCATGACTGCAACATAAAGGTAGTCAAACCAGTAGAACTAGAAAAATTAAACAAGAAAAAATAAAGGCATAGTGGAAATTTTGTTCTAATTTGTAAGTCTAATAATGACTTAAAATTAAACGCCACTCCATACCATACACAAAAGTCAATTCCAGATTCAATCAAACTTGAAAAGTAAAACAGTAAAGCTTTTGTTTTCTTCTACGAGAATATCTTTCCTGACCTTATGTAGGCAAAGATTCCTTAAATTGGACATAAAAAATATTTTAACCATAAAGGAGAAAAATTGAAAAATTGGATTATATTGGAGCGTCAAACTTCTGTTCTGCCAAGAACACTATTAGTATAATGAAAAGGCAAACTGCGGAGCAGGAGAAAATATTTGTAATACATACACGTGACAAAGGACTATATCTAAAATATGTGAAAAATTCTTATACATCAGTAAGAAAGAGACCAGTGGAAAAATGAGCAAAAGTCTTGAATAGGCATTATGAAAAAGAATATATAAATGGCTAATAAGGATGAACTGCTACACATCTCATTAGCTATCAGGGAAATACAAATTAATTATTACTGTATACCACCACACACCCATGAATATGCCTAAAAGTAAATGATTGATAACATACAGTGACAAGAATGTGAACTATAGGAACTCTAATATACTACTATTTAGAGTCTAAGTTTGTATTATAATTTTGAAAATCTATTTGGCACTATATACTAAAACTTAACATAGGTTACTCCATGACCTAGCAATTCTACTCTAGATATACATTCAGTAGATATGTGTACATACGTTCACTAAAAGACATGTGTAAGAAATATTCCTAGCAGTATGAATTACAATGGCCCCATACTGGAAATAACCCAAATTTCTATCTACAGTAGAGTGGATACGTTGTGGTATATTAATTCAGTGGCATACTGTACAACAAGAATGAATGAGCTATTGTATTATGTCATAATGTGAATGAATCTCAGGAAAATAACAATGAATAAAAGAAGCCACTTGCAAAAGAGTATATATTGTATGTTCCCATTTAAATATGGTTCAGAAACAGGCAAAACAGATTCTACAGTGTTAGAAAGCCAGTATTGGTTATTTTTGGTGGTGCTACTAACTGATGGCCTATGAGGAGGTTTCTATAGTGCTGATAATGTTAAAATTCGATTTGGGTGTTGGTTACACAAAATGTATCATGTTATATGTTATGATATTTTGTACTATATGTAATACTTAATTAAAAATTTACTAAGGGGAGGACTGAAATGGCTTCATTTCTCATAACTTTTAACTATGATTGTATAAATTAGTATTCAGACAATTTCTAAATTAAAGACTATTTCCAAAGTAAATCTATTCTTCTTTCTCAATAAGAAGCATTTTGTTCCTTTTCACTCCTATTTTTACTTTTTCTAAGAGGTTAATGTTTATTAATTGCCTTCTCTGTATTCAAGCAGCATTACCCCATTCAATTCTGGCAAGAAGAATCTGTTGTAATAAAGAGGGAAAATGTATCTGAATTAGTTGTGAGTTTGGGTGGATACTCAATGATATTTATTTTCTACCTACCACAAAATTAAACTAAAAACTCACTTGAGGTTGACCTGTTGTAAAAGGACAAAACCTATTTTTCCCTTTACTTCCACAATCACTCAGTACAATATTTTTGACACCAGATGTGTGAGGGTTCTCCAGCAGACAACTCCTGGGTGTCCTATAATTCAATTCTGACACTATCTAGAGATAATGTCAGATCCCACAGATTGTGGGCTCAGTCCCACAAGACTACCCCCCACTTCAGACCCCAGTTGCAGGTTGTGACCTGTACTTCTGATTGAATGGCAATTAATTGGGGTTCTCATGACCCCCTCCTTGGTTTGATTAATTTGTTAGAGCAGCTTACAGAACTCAGGGAAACAGTTAAATTACCCACTAATAAAAGATATTATAAAGGATACAGATAAACAGCCAAATGGAGGAGTTGCATGGGGCAAAGTTACATGGGAAGGGGTGCAGAGGTCCCATACCCTCTCTAGGTATACCACCCTCCAGGCACCTCTAGGTGTTCAGCTATATGGAAGCTCCCTTAACCCTATCCTTTTGGATTTTTATGGAAACCCTGTTATGTAGGCATGATGAGTTAGATCATTGTCTGTTGGTGATCAACTTAACATTTCAGCCCCTCTCCCCTCCCTGAAGGTTGTCATCTTAATAACTTGCTCTGTTCTCCAGATGAGATGATGGGTAAATCTATATATATTCTTGGTTACTACAGACCTATTATTTCTCCTGGTAATGGTGGTCTAAGTCAGGAGTCAACAAACTACAGCTTGCAGGTCACGTCCAGACATCTGCTTAAAATGCTAATCATCTCCATGTGAGCGGTTCATCTCTCTAGTAAATTGTGTGTCACAGTAAAAAGCAATCTCTCGTGGTCCTTGTATAATTTTTTAACATATTTAGTGAAATACCATAAATCTTGAACAACACCATGGTACCTCTACAAAGTGCCACTAGTGATGCTGGCAGTGCTCTCAAGAAGCAGAGAAAAGTCATAATGTTACAAGAAGTAGTTGATTTGCTTGATATATATCACAGATTGAGGTCTGCAGCTGTGATTGCCCACCATTTCAAGATAAGGTGTAAGGACTTACACATTTCAAGGCAGTGTAAGAACTATTAAAAAAGGAAATTTGTGAAGTTTTTACTGCAGCTATACCAGCAGGTGTGAAAACTGCACTTTTTTGCGAAATACAAAATACGTGTTAATCGACTGTCTATGTTATCAGTAAGGCTTCCAGTCAGCAGTAGGCTGTGAGTAGTTAAGTTTTGGGGGAGTCAAATGTTATACATGAATTTTCAACTATGAGTGGTGGGGTTGGCATCACAACCCCTGCATTGTTCAGGGGTCAGCTGTAGTTACATATCTACACAGTTTCACGTGTCTTATCCATCTACATTGATGCCAGAAAGAAACCTTGGATTGTGTATCTGTGTAAACTGGCCTGAGGTTGGATCAGTTATAGCAAGAAGCCTCTTGGATTTTACTCCTTGCCCAATAGGATCACCTATGAATAGCATGAACATAATGTTTCAGTTTGCTTGGGGATAGTCCTTGGTTACATTTGTTGTTCCAGGCTGTTATTACATTATGATAATATTGTATACTATTATAATAATAATTAATAGCTTTTCCCTCTTAACTCTTAAAACGACCCCAGTTTGGATGATAAATTGTATGGTCACTCTAACTGTAAAGGTTATTACTGAGAGTGGTGGTGGGAATAGAAATGGGAATAGAATAGTCAGTGACGACTATGCAAGGTGGAACTTAAGAGATTAATTTTTGAAGGTTTGTGTTGGAGTCCTGAAGATTGCCTCAATGTCTGCTAGGATTCACAGAACTCAAAAGTTGCTGTGCTCATGGTTGTGGTTTATTATAGTGAAAGGATACAGAGTAAAATCAGTAAAGGCACAGCAGGGGAGGTGTGGAGGAAATCATTTGCAAGCTTTCAGGTGTCTCTTTCCACTGGAGTCACACAGAACATGCTTAATTCCCCCAGAAAGATGTGATGACATATGCAATTGTTCCTAACCAAGGAAGCCCACGCTAGCCTGGGTGTCCAGGAGTTTTATTGGGGGTCAGTCACGTTGGCATGTAGTGCCTGCATGACTGACCTTTGTTACTTAAGCTTCAGAGCTTTGGAGAAAAAGCACGTGTTCTCCATGAATCACATTAGTACCATAATCTATCTGCTCAGACTGGTACAGCATGGCCCAAGACCACAGGCATACAAAAACACACTAATCAGATGGAACTTTTCAAAAGGTCACAGCTTAGTTCTCAGGAGCTGGCCAAGGACTAGTCCTAAAAACAGGCCATGTGGGGGAATGAGCAGGGTTTGAACAACCCAGGCCTACTGAGATGAGTCTTTTCCTACACAAGGTCATGTAAATTATTCAAGCCAGAGTTTGAACCCAGGTAAGTCTGATTCCAAAGTCTATTCTCTTTCTGTAAGTCATTTTTAGTCGTCTTTTATACTGATTTGCTAATTAAAAATGATTGGCTACATTAGGTATGGTAGAGACTTGGACTGTGCCCACTTATCTTGATAAATATCTCTAATGAGCTTCCCCCCTCCTGCCCCCCTGCCCTCTTTACATGAAGATAAGGAAGCCTGAGTTTAGTATTTTAAGAGCTTTTGTAAATAATGGTACTTTCTAGTTTTGGTCATTGTCAAAAAAGTTTATTGTATTGAATACTTATGTATTGAAAGAATAGTCTATTTTTTTACACCTTTTGCATTTAATGCAGCTTTTAGTTTTAAAAAAATGTGGTAATAGAGTTAGTAAAGTTTTAGTTCACAATTAAGAATTGTCTGCCTTGTAGATAATAGGTTTGAATGAACTAAAACAGTTCACAAAACCTTTTTTTCTTTTCTTTTTCTGTAGGTATTTGTGGAAACATTAGACAAATGTTTTGAAAATGTCTGTGAACTGGATTTGATTTTCCACGTAGACAAGGTAATATTTCTATATTATCAAATCCTCTAAGTTTTTATTTAAGAAAAACATTAATTTGCATTTCTCATAGCAAAACATGGGTTTAGTGGATAATTCTATCTTTTTTCCTTTATTATTCAATTCATTATTTTTACTATGAGATAGGAACAGTACTTGGTGGAGAAGATTCAGATCCTGCCCTACAGGAGTTCACATTTAGGAGAGGAAACAATGGCATTAACAGATGTACAGCATGTTAATGGGAACACAAATGAACCACTTACATCTACATAAGTGAGTTAAGGGAGGAAATTACATTTAAATTGGATTTTAAAGGATTAGTAGATATTTCACAGATAGAAAAGGAGAGAGTGACCTTACTAGCAGACATGTAAAATACAGGCTTTTTTATGAGGAGGGATTGGTATTGATCAAGAGGCCTAATTTTGAAGAACCATTAGTACATGGACTTTGCACTTTATTCTGAAGCAATTTAATGTTTTTAAATAAGTTTTTATTGGCATTATTGTTGCTTTGTATATATATTTTTGGCAAGAATAATTTGGATGGTTCCATCCAAATTATTGCAATAAAATACTTTTTTCCCTTTGGATAAATACCCTGTAGTGGGATTGCTGGATCAAATGGTAGGTCTACTTTTAATTCTTTGATAAATTTTCATACTGTTTCCCATAGAGGTTTTACTAATTTGTAGTCCCACCAAGTGTATAAGCATTCGTTTCTCTCTGCATCTACGCTAGCATATATTGTTTTTGGACTTTTTAATAAAAGCCATTCTGACTGGGGTAAAGTGATATCTCATTGTGGTTTTAATTTGCATTTTCCTGATGATTAAGTGACATTTAGCATTTTTTCATGTATTTATTGACCATTTGTCTGTCTTCTTTTGAGAAGCTTCTGTATATGTCTTTTACCTACTTTTTTATGGGATTGTTTGATTTTTTTCTTGCTGATTTGCTTGACTTCTTTGTAGATTCCGGTTATTAGTCCTTTATCGGTTGTATAGCTTATAAATATTTTCTCCCATTCTGCAGGTTGTCTATTTGCTCTGTTGATTATTCCTTCGGTTGTGCAGAATCCATTTAATTTAATCAAGTCCCATTTATTTATTTTTGTTGTTGCCATGATTGCTATTGAGGTCTTCTTCATAAATTCTTTGCCTAAACCAATATCTACAAGAGTTTTTTTTAACATTTCTTCTAGAATTCTTATGGTTTCATGCCTTACATTTAAGTCCTTTATCCATCTCGAATTAATTTTTGTGAGTGGTGAGAGGTATGGATCCTGTTTCATTTTGTGCATGTGGCTATCCAATTTTCCCATCACCATTTATTGAATAGGGCTTCTTTTCCCCAGTGTACATTGTTGTCTGCTTTCTCAAAGATCAGTTGGCTGTATGTGGATGTTTTTATATCTGGGTTCTTTGGTCTGTTCAATTGGTCTATGTCTCTATTTTTGTGCCAATACTATGCTGTTTGGGTTACTATAGCCTTGTAGTATAGTTTGAAGTCTGGTAATGTGATGCCTCCAGATTTGTTCTTTTTGCTTAAGATTGCTTTGATGGCCAATAAACATATGGAAAAATGCTCAGCATCACTAACCAGGTGCTCCTCCAAATGGCCACTCCTTGGACTCCCACACACCGTGTAAGATTGAGTCAGTAAAGGCATGGTAATTGACCTCCCTGCCAGTAGGTGGCACTTGCCAGAAGGAACAAGCTGCTATGTTGTTTTGGGGTCCTGTGATTGGCTCTAGTCCCTCAGGAATAGTGGTGGGTGGGACCCTGGAACTTCCAGGTTTTGAGTCCCTAATCTCTGTTCCAGCAGAGATGGATGGCAGGAAGTGGAGCTGGGCAAGTCTGGGTTGGGTGAGCTGGCCCTCAGGCTCCACAGAAGCTGGCAAGGTAGCTGTTTCTGCAAGGGTCAAAGGTCTGTTTCCAGCTTGGATGAGCTGGCCCTCAGGCTCCACAGAAGCTGGCAAGGTAGCTGTTTCTGCAAGGGTCAAAGGTCTGTTTCCAGCTTGGATGAGCTGGCCTTCAGGTTCCACAGAAGCTGGCAAGGTAGCTGTTTCTGTAAGAGTCAAAGGTCTATTCCCAGCTTCTAGGTAAAGCCACCAGGGAAGGGCTGAAGTGGCCCCACCCAACCAGAAAGTCTGCTTGTGGACGTGGGGCTGTCTGAGAGCGACCATCTGGCTATTAGGAGTGGGTTTTGCTCTTCTCCCCACTTCCCTGTTCTGTGGTTTCCTTCCAGCAACTGCACCATGGACTAGGGAACTTCCCTGCCCAGGATCCCAACCTGGGTTGAGAGCACAGCCTTCCTGTAGGGGGAGGGGTGCTGCACAAGTGTGCTGTGGCTGGGACCCATCCTGCATCCACCTCTTAGCCCTGTCCATGTGGGCTCCTTGCCTCCCAATATTAATTCACAAATCTTCCCTCCGTGCCCCTGAGCAACACCACTGAGACCTGGGAGTATGGGATCTAGCCTGTGAGCCTGTCCCCAGGTCCCTGAAAATCAATCCCTGACCATGCTAGGGAGAAACGCATTGGTCCTGAGTTGCCTATTAGGTGCTCCAACAGGTTTGACATCCTTCTGCTTGGGGGTGTGGCCTGCTCTGATGGAGCCACCATGCAGTCAGCACCAGAGAGGGTGGGTGAGCAGGAGGCTTACAGTCTGAGCACCCCTCATTCTGCTGCAGGACACCAAGAGGAAAAGTTTGAGCCCCACTCTCTGTGGAAGTCTCAGTGTTGTGGCTCAATTGTCTCTTAGCAGCTGTGGGTGGGGGAGGGGCGGGGGAGAGAAAGAGTCTCAGTGGAGGAAAGCTAGCATTCTGGTCATCTCTGTTGCTCCCTCTGGAAGGCAGCCTGCCCAGAACATCCAGGTTCTGGAGTCCCACAGATCCCCTGGGACCCACTGGACCCCTGTAACTCCCACAGTCTGGGCCAAAGTTGGGAAATGTTTGTGTGGGAATGAGCAAGACAAAACCTGAAGAGTTGAAGCCCCCTGAGGAGGACAAAGGTGCACAGTGGGTAGAGAAGCAATATGGCGCCTGCCATCCGGCTTTTGTCTGTGGCAACGGGAAGCGCCCCCGCGGGGCTGGGCATCTGGTGCTTTGTCCACAAGAAGCTCTCAGGTCATTGGCTGCAGCAGCTTTTGGGTTGTGGATGCAGAAAGTCTCTCCAGCAGCTTGGGAATCCACTGACTGTCAGAGATGCAAGGGAGGGAGAAACAAACCATTCCAATTATGCCCTTTTCACTGGACTCCAAGCCTCTCAGGGGTGAACTCTGCTGATATTTTGCTCCCTGTTGTTCTTCTCCACAGTTTCTTCCCGTGGAGTCTCTTGTACATTCTGGCATCCTTCCCTCAAAATTATATCCAGTTGTCTGTTTGCTTTTTGTCCTTCATCTAGACCTTCTCCTTCCGGCAGCTGGTGTCTCTGCTCAGCCATCTTGAATCAGCTACTGGCCCTTGTTTATCCATTTAGCCATTCTCTCTGCCTTTTAATTGGAGAATTGGATCCATTTATAATCAGTGTTATTATTGATAAGTGAGGGTTTACTACTGCCATTTTGTTGCATGTTTTCTAATTATTTTGTGACTATTCTTGTCTTGCTGTCTTCATGGTTAAGTGATTATCTCTAGTAGTATGTTTTAATTTGTTACTTTTTATTTTTGGTGAATATATTATAGGTTTTTGTGTTGTGGTTTCCATGAGGCTTACAAAAAACACCTTACAGATATGTTATTTTAAAGAGATAACTTAGATCCCAAAGAAAAGAATAGAAACAAAGGTAAAAAAGCACACCGAGGCTTACAAAAAACACCTTACAGATATGTTATTTTAAAGAGATAACTTAGATCCCAAAGAAAAGAATAGAAACAAAGGTAAAAAAGCACACTAAAAGCTACACTTTTAACTCCATCCTCCCACATTTTGACTTTTAGTTGTAATTTACATATTTTTGTTTTACTTATCTCTTAACAGGTTCCTGTACCTATTATTAATTTTGATAGGTCTTTTCAGCTTCATACTAGAGTTATAAGTGAATTGAACACCACAAATACAGTAATGGAGTATTCTGGGTTTGCCCAGGCACTTAATTTTAACCTTTGGGTTTTATATCTTGAAAAGTGTTCTTTTGCACATAAGTATCTTTTTCTTTCAGGTTGAAATTCTCTTTAACATTTCTTATAAGATGGTTCTGGTTGTGGTGAATTCTCTTAACTTTTGTTTGAGAAAGACTTTATCTCTCCTTCATAGTTGAATGATAATTTTGTTGGATCCGATATTCTTGGATGGCAGGTTTTTTTTCTTTGTGCACTTTGAAAATGCCCCACTACCTCCTGGCTTGTGTGGCTGTGTAGTTTCGGTTGAGAAGTCTGTTGCCAGACAAATTTGAGCTCCTTTATATATTATTTGCTTCTTATCTCTTGCTACTTTTAGGTTCCTTTCTTTGTCCTTGACCTTTGAGAGTTTGATTATCTTATGTCTTGGGGTAGTCTCTTTTGTGTTGAATCTAGTTGGTGTTCTCTGACCTTCCTGTACCTGTGTATTTATATCTTTCTGATGTTTTGGAAAGTTTTCCGTTATTATTTCTCTGAATAAGCATTCTACTACTTGCTCTTGCTCAGCTCCCTCTTGAACACCAATAGTTATTAGATTTAGTCTTTTGAGGTAGTTTTCTATATCTTGTATCCCAGCGGTCCCGAACCTTTTTGGCACCAGGGACTGGTTTCATGGAAGACAATTTTTCCATGAATGGGAGTGCAGGGTGGGAGTGCATTACATTCAAGTGTAATGCACTTGAATCAAGATGATTCAAGTACATTACATTTATTGTGCAGTCAAACCTTGCTGCTCATGATAATCTCTATTTGCAGCCACTCCCCAGCACTAGCATCTCCACCTCAGCTCCACCTGACATCATCAAGCATTAGATTCTCGTAAGGAGTGCACAACCTAGATGCTTTGCATGTGCAGTCTACAGTAGGGTTCTCACTCC